ATTTGACTTTAGCTGCAAGTTTACAGCCAATTATTCAAATTACTAATCTCAAAAACAGAGATGTGACATACTCAAGAAGAGATGCTTCAATTGTAATGCGCTTTTTATTGAATTTTTTGTTGATTTCGTAGACTGCAGCTCCATGCTTGCTGCAATCAATTAGTAATAAATTCTTGTTGCGATTTTCAAAACCAAATTTGAACAGAACAGACTAATCTATGACATAAACAAATGAATTACTTTCTTATTTTGTCTAGCAAACATTGCTTATCACTGCAGGATTAAGGGAATTGTAGCAAACAAAGATCTAATTTTCGTGGTCAGGCAAGAATTATAGGATAAATATGTGTTGATGTATTATGAGCTTAATTTATTCGCCATAATTATTTAACTAAATGGTAAGAAAATGGACTTCGTTTGATGCAAAATTTAAGACTTAACTACATTAAAAAAAATTTTTTCAGATATCGCCGCGTATTTTTAAAAACTAAATTATATCCGAGAAATTATATTAGTCCTTTGAACACAAACAGTATCAAGATCCGATTTAAAGATTCATATTTGCGATTAAGTAATTTGCGATAAAAAAAGATGATAAAATTAACGAATCATCGACGATCAGCCAGTGAAATGGCTCCTCCATTGAATACTCCATACATTTTTCTTGCTTCTTTTCTGCGCAGTCAATCTGTAACAAAGCAGTGTCAGCAGCAACGAATTAATTGCAATTCAAAGATTGCAATCATAAGTCTTCAAAGTATTATAATATAAATTAATTATTACACAATATTTATGCGAAATCAATAAATGAATATGTAAATAAGAATATTTATTTTTAATTTACTCATTTTATTCTTTTGTTCAGCAGTTAGTCCACCGATTATAATTTGAATGTTTATAATGTTTCTTTACTATAATTTTTAATTGAAGCACTTAAAAGAACACATTATATGGCAAGCACATTAACAGATAAATGAATATATGCAAATTTTTCAACTTTCTTGAGAAATAACATAACAATTATTGATAACCTTCTAAACTAAATTTGTTAATAAAGTAATAAGCAAGTAACTTATTGTGTTATGGCATTAATTACTGTTTTCTGGAAGACTTTTCATCCTCATATCACTTTGACATTATCAGTAATTCTTGTTTCATTGTTCATTATAGTTCTCAATCATATTCCACTTTTGTAGCAGAAAGAAAAATAAAACCTTTTCGATTTTCAAATTTATTAGTATTTCTCGTTTCAACCGATGAGCAATTTCATTAAGCACAATAGCCACATCATTGCTGAAATGTTGATCTATTTAAAACAGTAACTGATTTCAGTATTATTACTTTACATACTAACCTGATCTATCATTGAAGATGTATGTGCAAGAAATCCAGGTTTCATGTGGTGTAACAGCTGGAGCTCCTTCAGATCTCCTAATTTTATTTTGATCAATATTACCTTGAATTTTTTTCCGCGGACATTCAGCTCTGAATATTATCAATAATGTAAATAATTTAATAAGAAAAATTCCAATTTACTGAATAAGTTTTTTATGCTTTTGCGTTACACAATTCCATCGTAAATATAATAGATCAGCGAAAAAATAAAATAAATATTGAAGTTAAGCGCGGAATTTTTTATCTTGGATATAAAAAATATCGTTAGACACAATACAGAACTCAGATTTAGTTCATTATTTTAGAAAATTTACTTGTTGTAAACGCATCTCCAATATTAAATCCAAACTTTTGAATGAAAACTGTGACAAAAAAAATTTATGATTTAGAAAACTACTGCTATTTGTTGCGAGTTAATAATAATAATTGCAAACTTTAAAAAATATAGTGGAGTGGTTACTTAATCGATTAATAAATGTGATCCACTTTACAAATCAATATTAGGAAGTAAATCCCGAATATACCTTATATCTGGTAAATAAGATGTAAATAGTAGAAATAAAAGCACGTTTACAAATCGCACGAACCAAATCATTACCATCACTCGTACCACCACCACAAATTTACTATAGAAATAAGGACGTTTTGGGTTGAAACGAAATTTGCAGATAGAAATTGATTGGAGTGTGATTTATTTCCGACCAAATAATATTCGTTCACTCCTCTCCACTTTATTCTACCCATAAATATTATTCGAAATTTATTTTCTTACAGTGGAAAATAAGACATTGCTAAGTATGTTTTCTTCATCCAACTGGAGAATTCCATTTATTATTGCTTTGATATATTTGTTTTCAGACTTGTTTCTATATGCTAAGGAAGCGACAAAATTCTTCTATCTCTTTTTTCTGGCTTTTCTACAATAGAACATTTTTTCAAACTTCTGACGGTTGATAAGATCCAAGTGACATATAACATGAATTTGAGTGCCACGTCGTTGTAATAATTTTAATTTGCTGGTGATTTCCGAAATTAATAGTATTTTCTTTAAATAAAATACGTGGTGCGGTTGCATGTGGACTAAACTTGTGACCATCAAGCTAGAGTAAAAAATCTAGAATGTGTCAGCTTTACGTTTACTTTAAAGGCTTCTAAGCATCATAATTATTAATCAAATCAACAAAAAGTATAGTGAAAAAGCGCACTGAAACAAATTAAATGCAAATGCATGTGTAAGGAAAATATGTCAGATCCTATTATTACTATGGAGATAACAATTTCTGCGTACCTTACTTCCACGAATCTGCTCAGGAAGATTCTCGTTTTCTCCTTTGTGGGTTGTCTGTATGCAATGCATACTTCAATCAACACATCAAATCATGTCAATAATTTGTTTTGGTTTTCCTGTAACTGAAGCTAAGAGTTAAAAGTTTGATGTCAAAAACATTAC